AAGAAGGTTAAAAAAAAAAAACTAAATAAATAGAGACACCACATTCAAGGATCAGCAGACCATAGAGTAAATATATCAACTATCCTTGTATTGATGCATTAGTTTAATGATAGCCCAGTAAGGTTTTGGCAAATATAAACAAGCTCATTTCAAAGCTTATATGGAAAAGCATATAGGTCCCAGAACAGCTAAAACAATCTTGACAAAGAAGAATAAAGAGAGGAGATCACTCTGTCCAATATTAAGCCTTATGATGATCAAGTAATCTTAATTACAGTAATCAAGACAATGTTGTATTGATAAAGGGACAGACACACAGATCAATTGAAAAGTTTAGAGAACCCAGAAGCAGCCCCATACAAATACGCCCAAATGATGTCTGACGATGTACAAAAGCAATTTAATGCAGGAAAGATAGCCCTTTTAACAAATAACACCAGAGCAATTAAATATCCACAGGCAAAAACCAAAACCAAAACCAAAAGAAAACCTCTAACTAAGCTTTATACTTTATATGGAAATTAACTCAAAATGGATCACAAACTTAAATGTAAAGCGTATAATCATAAAAAATATTTTTTAAAACATGGGAGAAAATCTTTGGGATCTAGACAGAGTTCTTACTCTTGACATCAAACCACTAAAGGAAAAATTGATAAAGTGAACCCATTAAAATTCAAAACTTTGGTTCTGTAAAATATCCTGTTAAGATAAGATGACAAGTTACACACGAAGAGAAAAATTTGCAAACCATATATCTAACAGTGGACTCATATCTAAAATATATAAAGAACTCTTGAAATTCCATCTTTGGCCAGTAGAGGCTCCTTCACATTGGCTCCTGCATTCCTTTTAACATGACCTTAGAAGTCTCTGATAAATTCCTCGCTTTCAGGACTGACATGCCCCAGCCTCAATTTGTTCATTTCTGGTCTAAATGCAAAGCTGTGCCAGGGACTTGGAACCTATTTATACAAGAGACCATGATTTGAGTAGAAAATGGTATTTAGGAATTAAAACTTGAATTCAGTGTTATAAACTGAATTCTGTTCCCTCCAAAATTCATATGCTGAAGCCCTAACCCTCAATGTGACTATATTTGAAGATGTGTGTGTTTGGAGATAGGGCTGTATTTGGAGATTTAAGGGGGTAATTAAGGATAAATGAGGTCACGCTGGGGGGGCGCCTGATCCAGCAGCAATGGTGTACTTAAAGGGGAAAAGACACCATGAGTGCGCAAACACAAAGCAAAGGCCATGTGAGGACACAGTAAGAAGGCAGCCCTCTATGTAAGCCAAGAAGAAAGACCTCACCAGAAACCAAACCTGCTGGCACTTTGATCTTGGATCTGTAGCTGATGAAACTGTGAGAAAATAAATGTATGTGGTTTAAGTTGCCCAATCTGTGGTACTGTTATGACAGCCTGAGCAAACTAACACAAGTAGATAAAACTATGAAATATATAATTTCTTTAAAAAGATAGAAAAATAAATGAGTTTATGCTAACACTTTAGAGTCAAATTAAAGATGAGATAATTTTACTTATATTTTTATAATTGTACATTTTACACTGATAATATTGGTTATTACTGGAATTAGCATAATTATTAGTTTTCTCTTACCATATATATAGAGACTATATATACACACACACACACACACAAACACACACACCATAGAGACATATATATACCATATATAGAGAGGTCACATACATATACACACACATAGACACACACCATATATAGAGACCATATATATACACACACACCGAAGAGAGCATATATATATACACACACACAAACAGACACACACACACCATCTATATATATGTAATAGTTTCAAATGGCAATACATATATGAACACTGACAACAAGAACACTGAATGCAGTTTAAGGTTTCTTAATGGGATTTTGGTCACTAAAATATATTACGATAGAAATATTCTGCCATAATACCGTGATTTAAAAGCACTCGCTTTAAATCTCTCTTCCCTGGGGAATCATACCACAAACTTGACACACAGATTGTTTTCAATTTTTCAAGGCCACTTTATTTTTCTCATTTTTATTTTTGACATTATATAAAACATTTACATGCTTCTTAAGTCTAGACCATAAAGCAGGTACATTCAGAGAAGCATAGCTCATTCCTGCCCCTGCATCTTCCTTATTCTCTTCCTAATCCTGTAAATTGTCACTCTTGTAATTTATTTAACTTTCCATTCTGTCTTTTGTAAAATATTAGTAAAGGCACATATATTCTCTGTTTTTACCCCCTTTCTTAGACAAAAGGAATTAACAGTATGCTACGAATACTATTCTACATCTGACTTTCATCAGGATAATAATGTCTTGTAGATGATCCATGGCTGTGTACAGACATCTTCCTTGTGCCTTTCCACAGCTGTGTAGCCCTCCATTCTGGGGATGGTGGTGGTTGGCAGAATGCTAAAGATCCCCCTGCCCCCAAAGCCCCACCATCCTGGCTATTCAAATACTAATCTGGATACTTCAGCTGGTACCCAACTTACAATGATTCAACTTGCAATTTTATGATATGTCAGTTTGAGAAGGTGCAAAAACAATATTCAGTAGAAACCATACATGGAATACTCATACAACTATTCTGCTTTTACTTTCAGGGTGGTATTCAATAAATTACATGAGATATTTTACACTTTATTATTTAAAAAAAGGCTTTGTGGGCAGTTTGCGGTGGCTCACACCTGTAATCCCAGCACTTTAGGAGGCCAAGGCAGGTGGATCACTTGAGGTCAAGAGTTCAAGACCAGCCTGGCCAACATGGTGAAACCCCATCCCTACTAAAAATACAAAAATTAGTCAGGCATGGCAGCGCGCATCTGTAATCCCAGCTACTCAGGAGGCTGAGGCAGGAGAATCACTTGAACCTGGGAGGCAGAGACTGCAGTGAGCCGAGATCACATCACTGTACTCCAGCCTGCACGACAAAGCGAGACTCCATATCGAAAAAATAAAAAATAAATAGGCTTTGCATTAGATGATTTTGCCCAACTACAGGCCAATATAAGTGTTCTGAGCACATTTAAGGTAGGCTGGGCTAAGCTATGATGTTCAGTAGATTAGATGTATTGCATTTTTGACATGATATTTTCAACTTATGATGGATTTATTGAAAGGCAACCCCCACTGTAAATCAAGGAGCATCTGTATTGGGAAGTGAGTTTGAAGACATAATTAAAGTCCCAATTCCATTAATCTTAAGATATATAGATTATCTGAGTGAGCCTAAGCTAATCAAGTGAGACATTTAAAATTCATTTTATCTGATTGATGGCAGAGGAGGGAAGTCAAAGATGTTCGAAGTATGAGGGGGATGAGTCTCTGCTTTTCAAGGCATGAGAAGCAATCTTGCTGGCCACCAAGAGAAAGTAAACAGGTATGCAGTAAATGTCAATGAAGAAGAAGGACAGATTCCTGAAGCTGAGAGTGAACCGCAGCCAAACACCAGCAAGAAAGTGAGGATGTCAGTCCAAAGACTGCAAGAACATGAATTCTGCCAAGAATCAATGAGCCTGGAAGAGGACTCCGAGCCTCAACTGAGAATCTCAGCACCAGCCAACACCTTGACATCAAGTATGTGAGATGTGGGCAGAGGATCACTCAAGCCCAAGAGTTCAAGACCAGCCTGGACAACACAGTGAGACCCTGTCTCTATCAAAATATTTTAAAAATTATCTGGGCATGATGGCATACACCTGTAGTTCCAGCTACTCTGGAAGCTGAAGTGAGAGGATCGCTTGGGCCTGGTGTGCGGCTCAAGGCTGCAGTGAGCTGTGATTACACCACTGCACTCCAGCCTGGGCAACAGAGTAAGACTCTGTCTCCAAAAATACACATGGAAATTTGTTGTCTTGTTTGTTATATAGGTAGGTATATCATAGCCCCAATTTTGCCTCTTGACCTACAAAGCCTACTTTCTCACTGTTAACAGGAAAAAAAAAAAAAAATGCCAACCCCTAAGCAATACCAGACTCTGCTCAGTACTCCAGAACAAGTAAAAACCTGGATCTAGAAACACACATTAAACCAAATTGTCAGGGCTCCTCTGGGCTTCAACAGAGCACAGATCAGATGGTTCAGAAGGTGTTAATCAGAAAGCATCAGAACATGAAGCGAACTTGAGGAGCATCTAGAACAGCTCCTCCTTTTAGAGGAAAGAGTTACAAGCCCGGAGAAAGACCTGTCCTTCCTAGGACCAGTCCATAAACTCTCATCCCCTTCCCTGCTCCTCCTTCTGAGCCTTCAGCTACTTATTCCAGAATCTCACAATAAGGAAAATTACAACCAAACCACTGGTCTAATATTGACTCACAAAGGTACAAACCAGAACCATCTCAACACCCTACTTTGGACTGTTCTCAGATCTAGGGCTGTGTTAGCCCATTCTCACACTGCTGTGAAGAAATATCTGAGACTTGATAATTTATAAAGGAAAGAGGTTTAATTGATTCACATTGCTGGGGAGGCCTCAGGAAACTTACAATGATGGCAGAGGGTAAAGGAAAAACAGGCACCTTCTTTACAGCCGGCAGGATGTAGTGAGTGCCAGCATGGGAAATGCCAGATGCTTATAAAACCATCAGATGTGGTGAGACTCACTCATTATCACAAGAACAGAATGGGGGAAACCACTCCCATGATCCAATTACCCCCACTTGGTCCCACTCCTGACACATGAGGATTATAGGGATTATAATTCAAGGTGAGATTTGGGTGGGGACAGAGAGCCAAACCATATCAAGGACACACAAGGCATTTCTCATCCCACCATAGTCTCAGAGGTCTTCTCTGGGTCCTCAGTACTTCCAAGCTGAGATTACAAGTGAAATATTAAACCCCTGGAAAAACCCTTAAAAAAATATACCAGATACACAGAGACCAAGAAACACCCTGCAACTACTAATACAACAGGCACTAAATTGAAGTTATTGATGAAACCATCAGAGAAAATCTTACCTTGCTTGGCAACTGAGCAGCAACATCTCACGGTTATAAATCAAAATATATAGAAGAACCAGGAAGGCTTTTGCTCTAATGTATGTTGAGGGGCTGTCGAGTAAATGGATAACTGTGGAGACAAAATCCTGTGGAAGACATTTAAAATTTTTTTTTGAGAGAACATAACAAAATAGGGCAGTCTCAATTCTCAGAGTAAACAGACTATAATAATCAAGCAGATGGCAGAAAGTAAAATAATATCAACTACTGTTTTCGCATTCTCAATTTGTGCTAGATCCCATAACTAAATTTTAATACTATCTCATTTAAATCTGAAAATTAGTCATAAAAAGTTGATAATATTGTTCCCGCTTTAAAGAGAAAAAATGAGTATTGAAAAGTTAAGCAATTTACCCAAATTCAGAGTTGGATAAAATCCAGGCCAACTGAATGACAAAGCCTGCCTGTTAACTACTCAATCACACAACTGGAAATGTGGCAGCAAATAATACAACTGTCAGTCACAACTGCATGTAGATATAAATCTCCAAGAAGAGCTGCATATAGAGAGATCATATCTCTAGTCTACACATCCGAGGGCTTAACAGACATAAAATAAAGATAATACTCAATACATGACACAAAGAAACGTATACTCATATAACACTCTTTAATTAAAGGTATAATTCAACACAAAGGACTAAGTATTGACAAGGAATAGTGCTACTTTCCCTTTTAGAAGACAGACTATAAATAATTTCTATAAATATGCAAACAGAACACAGACACACACGCACATACATGGTTAATGAATGTAAGTAGTCAGAAATATAGAATCATAATATCAGCAAGATGGCTACAGAGAACAGGAATATATAAGTTCCCAAGAGAGCTTAAGAGGTGCCAGCACCTAACAGTAACACTGTGTGTCCAAGACAGATTTAAGAAGCTCAATTTTTTTTTTTTTTTTTTTTTTTTTGGCCACACTCCAATCCTTTTCTATTTGGTGGTATGTTTCCAGGTAGGAATAATTTACATAGTCATGTATATGCCATGTAAATTCTATGCTACTTAAGGATAAAAACATATCTAAGCATCAGTCTCACCTAGTTCCTGAACCGAATTATCAAAGCCAAAGTATTTATCTCAGGTAAAAAACAAATCAATGCAGTCATCCTTGAGTAGAAGATCTGTTTTCTACCTTTGCAGCAACTAGACAGTAGAAAATCCATCCCCAGAGTCCATTCCTGATTCTAATTTATACTCTATGGTCTAAGGACCACAATCACAAGTCCGTTTCCTCTGTCAACACAACCCCCAACATATACATACATAATTCCAAAGCCATTCAAATTTCCAGCAATTATAGACTGAAAAACTCTTCCAGATTATAAGAGATTAAAAAGACATGATAACTGACTGCAATTCAAGATCTGGAAGTTCTGTAAGGTCTGTAGATTAGCTAACAACACTGAATCAATGTTAATTTCCTGATTTTGAAATTCACAGCTTGTTTCAGTGAAGTAATTAGAATTAGAAAAGCATCATGTCCATAAACTTCTCAAGTGGGTCAGAAAACACACACACACTCACACATCCGTGCACACAAAGTGAAAGAGATAAAGACAGAGAAAGATAAATTATAAAGTAAACATAGTAAAATGTTAACATTTGGTGAATGTAGGCAAAGGCTCTATTGCAATCATTTACACTGTATGTCCAAAATCAAACTCAGTGCCTGAGGACCAATATACTAGCCAAACTCAGAAGTCTCAGTACTATCCTTGACCCTTCTTCTTTCCTTTCTTTCATGCCCAATTAACCCCAAGCTCTGTGAAAATGACACCCCTAATATGGCTGTCTTATTTCTATGCACCATTATATCTTTCCTGAATTACTACAACAGGCTTTATTTAATTTTCCTTTATTCCATCTACTCTATAAATTTTAGCCACAGTGGACCCTCTATTAAAAGCAAATGTAACTCACCTATAAAATATTCTCAATAGTTACACAACCATTAAAAAGAAGCTAAAACTCATTATGACATATGAGGCTCTTCATGGTCTGGCTTTTCATTATCTTTCCAAAATCATGTATCATACCATCAACTCCACTGAATACCCTCAACATTCACAATGAGGAAATTAAAAAAAAAGGAAGATGAGAATATTGAACAAAGGAAAGTGGCAAAGAGAATCTCAGGATTATTCCAAGGTGACGGCCTTCACCAGACAGAAGGCAGCCTACCTGTACAGAAGCTGGTCCAAGGCCCCCAGAGAGAACTCAGGAGAAGAAACTGACAGACTATCTGAAGCACCTGAATGTAATTTGAAACACAAAGTGATGTAAACAAAGAAAGGTTCACTAGATATTGATCTACACAAAATTAACAGACCGAGTACATATGCATGTTGGAGCCTGTCTCATGTCTTACTTCAAAATAAACACCAAACAAATCTAAGATTTAAAAAATAAACACAAAATGATTCAAAGATCTAGAAGAGGCCACGGGAGGTAGGCATACAAACATATATACATACATATTTCAATCTCAGACTGGGGAAAATGTTCATAAATAATTTATTAGAAAGAATAAAATAAGTGTGAGAAATGTAAATAAAAAATGTTAAATGCCACATAGAAATGAAATGCTATAAAGAAAAAAACCACATGAATTAGAGAAAACATTTGCAGCACATTTTTTTAATAAAGGTGATTTTCTTGATATATAAATATCAATAACTAAGAAAAGAACTAAAGGACTAAGAAAGTAAGAGTACTAGAAACAATTGAAACCTCTGATCTCTTCCATGTGGAATATCACATCAACCAAGGATAATTTAAGGTATTTCAAAAAATACAGAACATAGGAGGCAAGTTTCATATAAAGCTATCCATATAAACCTATTTCATATAAAGACAACAAAAAATGAAAACAAAAAACATTTCAGCTGATAAAAACTCTTTTTTTTTTTTTAGAGACGGAGTCTCACTCTGTTGCCCAGGTTGGAGTGCAGTGGCGCAGTCTTGGCTCACTGCAACCTCCACTTCCCGGGTTCAAGCGATTCTCCTGCCTCAGCCTCCTGAGTGGCTGGGACTACAGGTGTGTGCCACCATGTCCAGTTAATTTTTTGTATTTTTAGTAGAGAAGGATTTTCACCGTGTTAGCCAGGATGGTCTCGATCTCCTGACCACATGATCTGCCTGCCTTGGCCTCCCAAAGTGCTGGAATTACAGGCGTGAGCCACCGTGTCCAGCCAAAACTCTGATTTTACCTGCTATGGTCTGAATGTTTTTTCCTGCCCCCATTCATATATTAAACTTAATCCCCAATGTAACAGTGTTAAAACGTGGAGCCTTTGGGAGGTAATTAGGTCATAAGGACTACACCCTCATGAATGAAGTTAGCACCCTTATAAAAGAGACCTGAGTTTATTTACCCCTTCCAACATGTAAGGAAACAAAGAAGACACTATCTATGACAAATGGGCCCACACTAGACACCAAATCTGCTAGTACCTTGATCTTGGACTCCCCAGCCTCCAGAACGGTGAGCAATACATTTCCATTATTTATAAATTACCCAGTCTAAGGTACCTTGTTACAGCAGCCCAAACATACTAAGATACCACTCAACCAAAACAAAAAACAAAACAAAATAAAATTGAGGGAGAGGTAAACTGTACTGTACCAGCTCAATTTGAAGGAACTATCATTAAATAAGCATTTATAGACATCAAAAAGGTCCAAGTCACTTAGTTATACAAGACAAGGAGGTATAGACAGTATACCTTAGGAACACAGATGCAAAAACTCCTCAACAAAATATAAGCACGTTGATCCAGTATATATTAAAGGAATAAAACATGATGACCAAGTGAGGTTTATCCCAGGAATCCAAAGCTGATTCAACATTTGAAAAACAATAAGTGTAATTCATCATAATTAATTGATGAAACAAGAAATATCACATAACAATGAATTACTAATAAAAAAAATTTATAAAATTCAACATCCATTCATGATAAAAACTCTCAGCAACCTAGGAATAAAAGAGACCTCCTCAATGTGAAAAAAGGCAAGTAGAAAAAAAACCTACAGTTAACATCATAATGATGAAAGACTAGGTGTTTCCCCAGAAACTGAGAAGAAAGCAAAGATGTCCACTCTCATCACCCATGATTCAGTATTTTACTGAAAGCTGTAGCCAGCATAAGAAGAAAAATAAATAAAAGACATTTAGATTTCAATGAAAGAAATATTTGCAGATGACATGATTACCTATGTAGAAAATCCCAAGGAATTTACAAAAAAAAGCTTCTATAACTTATGAGTTTAGCAAGATCTGGTATATTTCAATATACCAATAATGAACAACTGGAAAATAAATCCTTTTTAAAGTACCACTTTTCAATAGCTCCAACCACAACAACAACAAAGAAGTATTGCTTTCACCCTAACAAAACATCTACAGAATCTGTACATTAAAAATTCTAAAATCGTGATGAAAGAAAACTTTTCAAACCTATAAATAATGAAAAGACATTCCATGTTCATGTAGTAAGACTCAAGTTAGTCATCAATTCTCCCCAAATTTACCTATAGACTTAATGCAACTTCAGTCAAAATGCCAACAGGGTATTTTGTGGCTATAAACTGAGTTTAAAATTTCTATGGAAAGGTAAAATAAAAACTAGAATATGCAAAACAATTTTGGGAGGATATGCAAGAATCGTACAATAATTTTAAGACATACAAAAAACTATGGTAATCAAAACAATGTAGTATTGACAAAATGATAGACACATAGAACAAGGAAACAAACTAGAGTTTAGAAATATAGTCCATCAGTTTACGATAAAGGTGCAAAGGCAACATTGGAAAAAGGCTAATCATATGACCAAATGATGCTGGAACAACTGAACATCCACAAGCAAAAATGTTAACTTAAACTCATTCCTCACTCCACATGCAGAAATTAACCCAAAATGTATTATACAACTGAATATAAGTCAACTTCATCAAAACGAAAATTTCTCCCGTGAAGGACCCTGTAAGAAAAGACATGCCACATACTCAGAGAAAATATTTGTACCCAGAATATATAAAGAACTCTCCAAACTCAAAATTAAGAAAAAAAATG